GGGTGCTTTGATTGTGGGTTCCTGCATGGCAGGGGGTTGGACTCAATTGTGATCTCTTCCAACTCTATGATTTTATTATTTCACGTGTGCATATTATTAGTTGGGGATAAAAAAAAGACTTCCTGAAACATGTTGAACTGCTCTTCTTTTTTGCACTACGGGAACCTATCCTATTCTTTTCATGTTTCTTTCTGGCCCAGCACCAAATTTTTTATTAAAGTAATGTCCAGATGCAATGGCTCAAGTGGTTAAGACTCTGATTCTGTTGATTGCCAGATTGGCAGGTTGCCAATTCGAGGCCTGGGTGCTGCATGATGGGGTGAGCTCCTGTTACTAGTCCCAGCTTCTGGCAACCTAATAATTTGAAAGCATGCACATGCAAGTAGATAAATAGGTACCACCTTTCAATGGGAAGGTAAACAGCGTTCTGTGCAATCATGCTGGCCATATGATCACAGAGTAGTCTCTGAAAACGCTGGCTCTTTGGCTCAGTAATGGAGATGAGTATCGACCCCTACAGTCGGACACGACTTGACAACCTTGCCAACGGGGAATACCTTTTCCTTTAATGTCCAGAAGCACATCTACTTTGTAACCTGAGGTATACCTGTATGTTAAAACAACAGTCAGTACAAGAGAAAAAACAACACAGTAGCATAAAATATCTCACCAAATTTAAAAAAAAAGTTTGGAAAAATAAAAGTTCTTTCCCTATTCCTGCAAAGAGTAGAACTTTTAAAAAAATCTTACTTTTGTGAAACATAACCCAGAATTCCCCTGTCAGCATGGCCACTGACCATATTAGCTGGGAGATTCTGGTACTTAGAGTCCAAAAAAGGAACCATTCTAAGCTTTGCTGGAATGGAATCAATGGAGGCACCATGAAAACCTCTGTCAGGAAAGACGTCCATAAACATGCCACAACAGGGAAAGCCAGTTCTATTGTTGCCAGTCACTATCTGTCTCACCTTAGATGTGTGGGAAGGTTACCCCAGGGTATATTTAGGTTGATGCAGAAGGGTGCCAGGCAAAGAATATCTTCTCATCATAAACATACAGTTTATATTAGAGTACAAAATATGGAGGTAGATACTACCTTTAAAATGAGAAATGGAACATAAGTTTTCAGAGGCAGAGTACATTTGAGTGCTACATACTAGAAGCAAAGAGTAGGGGCAGCCTTCATCTTAATATCTTGCTAGGCCCTAATCTCATAGCCATCTGACTAGCCACTGTTGGAACAGAAGCTTGAACTGGATGGGCTCTTGGCAAGACAAATAATAATAATAATAATAATAATAATAATAATAATAATAATAATAATAATAATAATAATAATAATTTATATCCCACCCCTCTGCAGACACAATCGGGGCGGCTTACAACATTAAAATACCATATATATACAATCCCAAAAACCACCCACCCCTTAAAATTGCATTAAACAACAAACAATAAACAACAACAAAACAACAACAATTAAAACAACTAAAATAAGTTGTAGTGGAAGAGCAGACAACTAACAATAAATGCGATAAAGAATAGGAGAAGAATGGGCTAGCTCTTGAGGCTGGGATAGCTAATCAGGAAAGGCTTGCTGGAAGAAATCTGTCTTAACAGATTTTTTAAAGCTATTTAAGATGGTAATATGATGGATCTCGTCTGGCAAGCCGTTCCATAATCTGGGAGCGATTGCTGAAAAGGTCCTCTGGGCAGTTGCAGACAGCCTAGTTTTTATAGGCTGAAGGAAATTCCTCCCAGAGGACTTGAGTGCATGGGGTGGATTATATGGAAGGAGGCGG